AGGTTTTAATATTTCCTCATTCATTCACTACTTTATCACGTGTTCGTTTATTTGCCCAGTAATTATCTGGTCTCTACTGATCTACCTTTTAGACACACACTTCATGTAGCAGATATACTTGAAAACCACCTTCTACATTGTTTTTATTTAGAGGAGTACTTAGTAATTTAACAGTTAACACCACCACATATTGATCTGAGTACATCCTTCTGCCTCTACAGACTCTTGATTCTTCAATTAGGGTTGATAATTTCTCGTTAGCTGTAATATTATCTATGAGTGAACTGTATCCACTGACCTCTCTTTCTAAAACGTTACTGTAAAGAATTTTTGAAAATTTACTTTTCACTCTACACACACACACACACACACCCACACACACATACACAACACACACACCACCCACCCACACACACATATACACAACACACACACCACCCACCCACACATATACACAACACACACACCACCCACCCACACATATACACAACACACACACCACACACCCACACCACACACACACCACACACACCACACACACCACACACACACACACACCACACACACACACACCACACACACACACATTCACTGTCTTACACATTACATAGTTTTAAATGAAAATCCAAACTAAAGATCTGAATTTACATCCTTTACAGAATTTTTGGTTGGTTTTGAAATATATTAATTTGTATTATAAAAAATAGGTAACTATTTGGTTAAGTGATTTCAGCTAAATCATATCGTGTGTAGAGTTCACAACTTTTGTGATTTTGTATTTAAGTGTTACACATCTAAGCTATGCAGCTGGCTAAAACTGATATTCAGATCAGGAAAACAGAAATATAATTATCAAAATGTAAGCAGTGTATCCAGAGGCATGAATTTGTTTCTCTGCAATACAACCTACTGAACAAACATTAAAAGAAAAAGTTTTGTTGAGTGGTAAAGTTTATATATGCACATATCTAATATAGTGGCAAAAGTAGAAAGATAAAAATTATTTTCATTTTATTCATTTGTAGCATTACAATGCTAGCAACAAATCAATTACCTTTTATAATATTTAACACAAATGTGGTTTTAAATTAGTGTCATCTGGGCATTGTTTGGAATTTAGGTGTGTAATATACAAGAATGTGGAAATACTAATTTTGACAAACTTCATAGAATTTTCCTTCGTGTTTAGTTTGTGAATAATCCAGACACATTGACACAAGTGAGTGAAAGAGAACAAGAAGGAAATCCGATATGAAATTCATTGATGGATCTATGATACAAAAAATGATGTACCCTAAATGTGAAAATAAAAAAAATAATAAAAATGTATCCCTTAAAACAGAGCTGAAGAGAGCATCAAGAAATTTATTAGCAAGGGCACTAATCAAGGTGGACTCTCACTTCCTCAAAAACATTTCCTTGTCTATTCCAAATTTTCCAGTGGATTTTAAATACTTTTCCTATTCCCCCCCCCCCCCACCTCTTTTTGTTTCACACTTTTAAAAGAAAAAATTTGAAGTTAGTCTAATACTAATTGGCCATTAATTTGATTTCATTGTGAGAAAGTACAAATGAACAATGATTTTTTAACAAATTAAAATTGAGCAAAAATTGCATTGAAAAAGTAATAATAATAATAATAATAATATCTAGTTTCACAAGCCTCTCAAATGTTTCCCCCACACCAAATTATTATTCTACAAATTCCTTGATTTTTCCTGATAAAATTCCCTAATTAATCAGTTTTCCATGTTTTTCAGATAGTAACCACCCTGTTTATTTCTTGGAGCAAAACTGAGCAACACTGTAAAAAATCAGTCAGTTGCACTCAAAGACAACTGGCATGCATTTATGAGATTGCAAGACAAAAAAAGTTCAAAATTATAAAATGAAAACCTAGATACTAACAAACCATTAAGACATCTGAGCATCTCAAAAAGTCCTCATTACCCAATGGTTTCAGAATGTATGGTTATAAAAAGGGTTGGTTTTAATTTATTCAAAATCATAATTAATTCAATTCACAATTTGTATTTTGTAATTATTCTGTGAGCATTTGCTTGTTTCCTCCAAATAAATATGATTTAACACATCACATTATACGTGTACTTTCTTTGTATTGAAATTAAATCTAACACAAAAGCAGCAACTAGTTCTTTTCATTCCTCTAAAGCACATCAAACTACTTGTAACCACAAGTCAATGCAAAAGAAATCATTGGAATTAGTGTAGACACCTATCCAACATGGTAAATTTAACATGCAATGTTGGTATGTAATATTAGTTTGAATATAAGCTGCCCTCATTGTTTGGGGGGGGGGGGCAAAATCTTAAAAGAATTGTTGTAAGAGCACAAACAAAATATAATTAAGTTTTATTTTTCTAAACTTAATCTAAATGCAGAACATGTAGAGCAAGAGTAATAATAAAATCACCTTATTACATAAAATTGTGTTTGTTCAAAATTTATTTAAATGACTTCTTTTTCAAGTATTTGATTTTTGTTTTAATCACACTTTATAATATGAAGGATCCATAAACAACATCACCAATACACATATTCCAATTTAAATGTATGCTACGATTTATTTACAGCTGTCTCAGTTTGGATGATACAGTAGCAGTTGATTTATGTCAGAGGCAGCTCCAAATAAATCCAAGTATAGACCAAAATGGCTTGACCATCTGGGACAAGGTAATCCAGCTGTGAGCATCCAGATAAAAAATTTAAAATGAAACAAAGACACTGATTGGATATTCACACTCAGCTAATCGCAATCAATTTTCTTAACATTTAAATACGAGTACAGATTAATGCAATGCAATGTAAAAATCTGTTATGAGGTAATAAAATATAATTAGCCAGCAGATTTAGACAAGTTTAAATCTCTCAAATTTCCTAATCAATTTATCTATACCTCTGATTCTTGATTTCTCAAAATTTTGTTCCCTACGATATTTCATCCACCCCTGCCCCAAAAAGCAATATTTGTTCCTGGAGTTACCAAATAAATTTGAGGTAGATCAATACAATGAAAATTAACAATGCTCCAGGGCCATATTCAAAGTCCTCGCTTACATAAGGAAATAATGAAACTACAAGAAGTTACTTTTTACAAAGAAATGCTTGTGCACATTTGGTTTTCATAGGCGATACTTAATGTAAGTACAATGCTAGTACATCTCATGTGAGAAACAGCATATTGGCTCTTTCAAAACCATTTAAATCCCACCTAAAGGGTTCCATTAAGTAGGCCGTGAACTATTCATATGTTTATGTCTGTGAGGCAGTCACGCGGTAACCTAACTGACAGTCTGGTCAGGCATTTGGTGCTGGTGTTAACAGTTTTAAATCTTAATAATAGTAGCAAATACGTCAAAGGGAAAGCTCTCATCAGGAAAAGAAAAGAATCCAACTCCAAGAGTTTTTCTCAAATACAAGGTTGTGCTTGAAACTTTTTGATTGTTGGGCATTTCCAAGAGGTTTTGCACAACATGTAAATATCACATGTTGCTATGTACAACGCCACCAAAATAAATAGAACATCACAATTGTTGTCCATTTACATTAATTTCAAAAAAGGACTATTTTCAACGCAGCAAGAGAGGATTAAGATTAGTTGTAAGTGAAGGCTGGGCTATCCTTGTAGCTATAAGAAGTTCCTTACGTGTGCAGACAAGTTGTAGCCATGAATTAAAAAACACTATAAGAAACTCAAGTGTTTCTTTATTATAAGTATTGAATATGATTATGGCCTCGAAAGTTACTGGGAAGTTTGAGGGTGGTAGTAGTAGTAGTAAATTTGGAAATAAACACGAAATTACACTTCACACAAGAATCTAAGGAAGTGAAGTGATATAGGAGGAAGGATCATTAATATTTACTTTGAGACTTAGACGAAGAGAGATTATAAAGCTTAATATCTATGATATATTAATTAACTTCACTACTTGCAAATTATACTTTTTAAAGCGAGTTTTGCATTAACATATCTGGCTCAATTGTAGCAGTCAAGATATATTGCTTCTTAACATTCATCATAGCTTATAATAATTTCTAGTCCTATAACTATGAATAGTGACCAACTTTTTCTTTTCCCGATATATTTGACGGCAGATTGGCAGAAAAGTTATTCAAGGAGTGCATACCTTTGATGAAATTGACTTGAAAGTTGAATACGAAAGCACACAAGTGTAGGCATAAATGGTCATCCACGAGCATGTTGTAAGCACTCTGCCAACAGATTCATTCATGAATACCACGCCTTAAATTTCAGTGAGATATTGGAACATGTGGAAAATTGTGTTGGACAAGGTCAAATAGGTCAGAAGAGGTTAAATAGAGAATTATAGGTGCAACTGCAGGTACAGGTGAAAATCAATAAAAAAATATGAAGTATGTGTCTTTAAGTGTAATGCACCTCTTCTAATGAATCTCCATTCTACATCAAAAGTCAAGTGGAAAGATCAATTTGAAGTTAGACATCCATTATTTTAATGAATATTGTATTTTACTCTCCCTAATAATCAACCCAAAATGACTTCTGACCTTCTTCTATCCACTTCCAAATTCATTGAGTTTACAATTCCAGCACTCCAAGGAACTAATCTAAACTAAAACTAAGAATACACAATTGCAAGTATCAAAAGAAAGTTACAAAAGGCCACATTCATTTAGTAACAAAATATTCAAGTTAGATTTCGCAGGTGGTATTAGTGTACAATTGGATTCGAGATCAAATACCATATTTGATCATTGTGAAGACTTACTGAATTACAAACTACACAAGGACTGAGCTATTTGATTAGTAAGGAATAAAAAACGTCAATACACCAATTTGTTTTTCAAACAATACACTAATTATTTTCTCATCTAATTCAATAATATTTGAAAGTGACTTCCACATTGCGAAAGTCGCGTGAAATTAGTTGCAAAATTAGGGCATCTCTGGCTTCATTGTTAAAAAAACAGGCCACGTTCCACATAAAACAAAACCAACCTGTAAGAATTTTTGTGATATGGACTCTCTTGAGAATCCACTCTTCTTCGTTTCACATCTCGATCATAAGACTCGGACCGAGAACGGGAGCGAGAATGATTACGTCTTCTTGCCCGTGGCATCTAGAACACAAGTGATTAAATTCAATAAAAGTAGTTGTGTCGTTTGATATTCAATTCTACACCTCGCATACAATTAGTTTTAGACGCTTAATTTAGTACCGATCCATCACACAGCAATGCATTCATTCCACACACCTAACCTGCGAATCCAATGCAATACTTCGTTTTCGAATAGGCGATGAAAATAAGAAATTCCCAAAAATATAGGAATCTCTTCGTTCTTGGTCAAGTTAAATTTATTTAAACATTGAAACCCAATTACAGAAAACGGTGACGGGCATTTAAAAGTTTGGGGACCCCTCCCAATAGCCAGTGAAATGACGGTTGAGGGTAAATATTCCACAGACGCCATCTTGAAGACAAGTTCTTGCTACCAAGTTGCATAGTCAAATACCAAACGACAACACTGTAGAAAAGTAAAATAATTTAATTTCAAAGTAATGCTGTAGGTACAAAACCACTTACGTTTAAAACACCTCTCAGGTCAACTTGGTCACCAAAAAACCCAAATGCCCAAGTAAAACACGTTCTTACGAAGGAACACTGCGAGACGTCGCGCAACAACGTCCAGAACATCGGATCGATCCGTATTGGGCGTCGCTTTCCTACGTCACAAACTGAGAACTGCTGAGAACGAAGATGGCGTCTTGCAATTGTTTTTTAGCCAAGTCAGTAATTTCAAAAATTAAGATTCTAGCTGCTAAATAAATTTCGATCAATAAAATATTCTTCTTTAAAGCAAACACCATGTTAATTATACACACTCCCTTAACACCTCAAGAAATTTTGATCATTAAAGAATTATGTTAGGCAGATAATTTTATAGTTTAAAATGACTCCGATGTCAAATTCTATATGTAAAACTAAAAGCGCGCCAGTAGTAATAATGGAAGAATAACAATTTTAACCGCAATTTACATATTCAGGGACACGCGTATGTCAACGCTATCTCCAGTTACTGACATCTGTTATTTTGAAAGTGAACTTAGTTCCCTGATGTGTATGACACCTATTCATCTATATCAATCATCTGGGACTGAACGTTCATCCATGTGAAATCCCTCCCAATTTTTATTTTTACTTCGAATATTTACAAATGAGTATTAGAATATTTTTATTTTCATTTTTATGAATTACTTTAATCTGAATCAATATTAGTGCAAATAAAATTTGTGGCACCTATCATTTTTTGACAAAATGCAACACATCTTATCAATTGTGTAATTTAACTACCCAGGTAACAAAAAATATCCTCAATATATTACCCAGAGTTGAGAATTCCTTTCATTAACAGTTTTCCTTTTCTTGTAAAAATATAAATTGCTGTTACAACCCCGTTTGCAAGCTTCACTACACCAACTCACATGTGTTCTATAAATGATGAAATAAAAAAATCATATTGAATTTCATTCCAATTGATGTAAAGAACTAACAAATTACAATACACACGTTGAATTCATTTTTTCCTTCAAATGTAACATTCTTCATTTTTTTTATGATAATTTTAAAAGGGATTTTTTTAAACCAGTTCGTTGTTTTGCTCATGAGCTCACTTCTCTCTCAAATAATGTTTCAAGTTTCTTCACATGTAAGTCATAACTATACTAATTAAGTATTACTTACACCTGAAAAAAACAATAACTTTTCACATTTATTATTTTTCTTTAGAATGTGAATGCTCAAGAGGTTATTATATTCTTCCAAGCTCCTGAAGTAATCAGACTATCACATGACACATAGTTCATTATACTAGTTGCTGCCTCTCCATTCTCAGGCAATTAATTCCTGACATTCTTTACAAAAATTTCTTTTGTTTTTGAACCTTCTTTCTTTTTAATTTCTCAAAGTACAGTTAAACTTAATACTGATTCTCAATGAACTTGTATTTCTTTTTCTGCATTCAACAAAGTAATACTGAAGAAATTGGTCAGATTTCACCATTACACATGTTCCATGTAGATTTTTTCAGTACTTTTTATATTAATGGAATAAAATGTATTGTAAATAAACCACAGCTCTTAATATAAAATAGCTCAAAATGAAAGTAATATTATAAGCTGCAATTCAAATTAATTTACTTTTTTATTCAAGTCAAAATAATGTAATTATGGCAGTTAAGAATTAAAAAAGGATATTCTATAATGCAAAACTGCTTTCTATTTTACAAAATTCTGGGTAGAAGTAAAACATTTCTTCTTGCAGAAGAAAATATTGTCTTTTAATCTTTTTTGGGTCAATGACTTCCAACTTGTGGAGGTTTTTATTCAGTTTCCCTGGATCTAATGAGCTGAGATGCATTTGTTTTAAAAGAGATTCTAGAGTTCAAGGAAACATAAATGAAATTATCTTCTCACCTACACTCCACAAGCAGTTTTTATTGTTTTTGACAATAAATAAATCTTTTCTATTAAATTTCTCCAAATTATGTCCCTGTGTTTACATTAAAAAACACAGAAAATATGACATCATTATCATTATTTTTTTTATATTACATATCCTTTTTAAAGAGAGGATGTTTTTGTAATTGCATGTTTTATTTAAACTTCATAGATCCTTCAAATTTTATGAATACATCTTTCATGACAAACATTTCAAAAATGCATACTGTTTCCAAACATATTTGCATGTTTGGGCATTTTTCAATTAATACTGTATATTTAGTCTTCTATCTAGTATATTAAGAACTTTTTAAAAATTATATTTTGCATAATTTGTGAATATTGCATACAGATACAAATAGCACATAATCCTTAGATCCTGACTGCATGCAGTTGTATTTTCATATTGTTATACTACAATCTTTAACCATCTGTACATATGCTAGATTGCCAAAGCGAGTACACGATATGATCAACAATCACAAGCAACAATTGAGTAACTCAATATTACTTGGTAACTGACTTGGAAGGGAAAAATAATTAAGAGCAGACTCTCTGTTGGCTTGTGTGCATAAAAGTTAAAATATAATGTCTTAACAACCATGTCTTATAAAAAATACCAATATTTAGAATTAGCATATCAAATACTGTAAAATTACCTACAGTTAATTCAGATAATTAAAATATCGGGTGCCAATGAAGCACTTTCCATGTACATTTCACGATTTTTTTAAACACATTTTGATTTATATTGCAAAGTTGAAATTCATAATGCAGTTTAACACTATAGTGAACTTTTACATGTAATAATTTAAAAATTCTGTCTAGTCCCTCAACTGAGATATTGGTCTACTAACATTGAAAATTGAGAGTGGTTGAAAGCAGAAGTGTCCGCCATTGCCCCTCCCTCTGCAGAAATTCAAAGTCAACTAGTCTATATTTCTCCACTATATATGTACTTATTCTGTAACAAAATAAATAATTTTGTACTCAATTATAAACACTTGAAAAACGGATGCCATTGAAGCTCATTTCACGTAATTTCACCATTTTTTAAAACATATTTTGAGTCAAATTTCAAAGTTGAATATAATAAGGCAGTTTAACACGAAAGTTAAATTTTACATGTAATAATTGCAAAATTTTATCTGGTCCCTCATCAGTATTAATACACTCTACAAATCCGAAAAGTTGGGAGCGGCTCCATAAGAAAGTGTCTGCCACCGGATCCCACTTCCCAGAAATTCCAATTTAACTAGCATATAATATACTACCAAGAATGTAGTAATTTTGTAACAAAATAAATAATTTTGTACTGGTCTATAGACAATTAAAAAACGGGTGCAATTGAAGCACTTTATGCATTAATTTCTGATTTTTTAAAACTCATTTTCAGTCAAAATTCTAAGTTAAAATTTAGGACTATGGACACTTGGGAACTGTGGTGGTGATTTAGGTATAATAATTTAATTTTTTTATAATAAATAAAAAATTGCAATTTTTCATTTTATTATGAGTGAAATCTCAAATAGGTATGCTACTTACCACTGTTATTTAACCTAAAGTATCTGCAATGTTATATGTTTATGGTTAGAAAAAATATGGTTGCAACTTTATTTGTTCTTAAGCAATTACTCTAACATAATAGAAAATTCTCCATTCACTTCCAATACATTTTGCTGCAAATATTTTATCTTTAAAAACTTTCAAGGTGGACAACTATTCCTTTGATATAGGACAGATATTACCAATCCAGTGCTGTTTTCTTTAAGATTCTACTACAATTTTGAAGCAAAGTATTAGTAAAGCAGAGTATTAATAGCGGGCTCCTGACAACCCAGTCGCTGCTATGATTAGCCCGATAATACAATTTTATTACATGGAAATTACTCTTCTAGTAAAATTGTTGAAGCCAGTCACTCAGGTAGTTTGAAATGTATGCAGGAATGTTAAAATCACATAAGTCGCAATGTTTAAAACCCGTTTTTAACGCATACGCAAACGCCATTTCTTGGCTGAAAAACAAAAACAAAAACGGAGTATTCGATATACCGCCTCATGCCCGTTACTTATCTTGATTCAGAAACTTTTCATTATGCTAAGACATATTTACGAGACTCTTCGGTAAGGACATTTATTCAATTTGATTCAAAACGTTTTCATAAAAAGCGAGACAAGATGATAACTAACGGATGTCGGCATCTTACCTGCACCAGACATCGGCCCAAGGAAGAGATTAAAGCCTCTACTCCACAATCCTTATACAAGGTTGTTTGATAACAGATATTAAGGTAAGTTTTCAAGAATATATGAATAGAGATGACTTCTTGTGCGAGATCAAAACGCCGCGTTCGTGGTAACGTCTCATTGTAGTCTCTACACAGGGTTTGGGGCGTATGTTCAATCTTTTATTGCTAATCACAATGTGTTCAAAAGCGTCAATCTTACGTCATATGAAAAGAAGTAAGAAATGTGCGATGTTGATTTCAGTGCGGGTTGTTTCGTACGAAATGTACATGTTCACTTAAAAAGTAAAATTCTCAATAGAAGACATTTGTAATTAGAAACATAATACAAAGAATTTGTCTTCTCAATTTTGAGGCAGTGAGTATGTATGAGTTACATGTTACTTTTAATGCCGTTGTACGGTAAAGTCTAAAATACTATACGCGCAAGTCTTCTTGATATTCCACAGCGGGGAGTGCGGGGAGAGGAGGCCTCTGGCTACGTCATGGCTTAAAAGGGCGTACCAACGGTGCGCCTGAACTTAACTCGCCAAAGTGTGGCACGTGATATGGTATGTCTTTTTAAAGGTACGTGATGATTGTTGCCAGCACTGTACATTGGTACGTGCCGTTCCGAATCTAACCTAAGTATCCCAACGTTCCGTGTTATTCAGCGCTGGATGATGAATAGGGAGCACGTGTATCAAGAAAACTTGCGCTAGTAAATACATAATAATTTTCTGATCTCGACAAGTGAGAGCAGGCATTTTGAGAAGCTCTTTTATATACTAAAATATTTCAATATATTCATTTATTTTTCGTAAACTTGTGAAAGGTTTCTCGCATATTTAAGAAGTTAGGTTTTCTCAAATTTTAATTCAAAATTTTGTATACACCGTTTTCTCCAATTTAACTCATCTTTTAATTTTTTTGACTAAGACATACAACGCAGAGAATTACAAATCGATAGTGTGACTTCGAAGTGAGTAGCACCCACACCTCTTCAGAAGAAAATATTTCTATGTACATCTTGATACCAATAATATTGTTTTACAACCTACACATTTTTCAAGTGCAGTGCAACTTGATAAATATCGGAACCGAATTTACCGCACACGATTACGCGATTCATATTTCTTACGTACAGTTCAAGCTACACTCTTGTATCCAACAGAATAACTAATAAATGAGTTTGGTAAGTATTTTCAAGATTATGACGTCTGCATTTCGATTTATTATTTTCTTTTGAACTCCAGGAAAATTTATAATCCTACGATGATACGATTCCTAAGATGTGGGTCAAGCTGGCACAACCCATACAAGCACAATCACATCAAACAAATTGGAGAATTTAGTGCTGAGTTTTCCCCAAAAATTAAATATATTTTTTGTTTAGTTATCTAATATGCTCATTATTTTCATGAAAAGCCGTTGGTTATCACTATGTTTAAGGCTAAATGTCCCGACACTAGTACAATTTGTGGCCACCACGTGGCAGCACCAAAATAAGTAAAATTTACTTTACCGATAATGTCTGAACCAATGGTCCGATTTTCGATCTGTAAACGCCATTTGACGCGTTTTTAAAATAGAATTTACGATACAACGCCCTTTTTCCAAAAATCTAGCAAAATCTCAAATTTGAAATTAGTTCTCAAACTTCCGAGAAAAAAATTAAAAATGTGGGCTTATAGCGCGATGGCGACATGCTTCCTGAATCCAACGCCGCAACAATCATGCAAATCGGACGAATAGGAGCGTCTTAGAGAGAAATTTACGAAAACACCTCGCCCCCCCTTCCCCTTCTTCACCGTTACGTCACCCACCCGATTGTTGTGGGCCATTGGAAAAGTCCGCTTCTGTATTGCACTACTTTGATCGCAGG